ACGGGGACGGGGACAGAGCTCCAGAGCTGCGAGGGGGAACAGCGGGGATGCGCCGGCGTTTGCTGGGATGGGAAAGAGTCGGGAGCAAAGTGGAGAGCCCGAGGTTGGCCACTGTCACCCACCCGGTGATGGCCTGCGTGACCACACAACACTAGCCACTATCACCCACCTGGTGCTGGCCATTGTCACCTACCCAGTGATGGCCACTGCCACCCACTCACTGCTGGCCACTGCCCCCCACCCAGTGATGGCCACCATCACCACCCAACACTGGCCACTGTCACTCACTCAGTGATGGCCACCATCACCACCCTATGCTGGTCACCATCACCACACAACACTGGCCACTGTCACCTACCCAGTGCTGGCCACCATCACCCACCTGACATGGAGGGCCATCCCCCATTCAGAGTTGGCCACCATCAGGTGACCATGTCCTGGTGCTGGACACCATCCTCTGCTCAGTCTTGGCCACTGTGACCTATCCAACACTGACCACCGTCACCCATCCAACACTGACCACCATCACCCACCCAACACTGACCATGACCACCCACCCAACATTGATCACCGTCACCCACCCAACATTGGCCACTGTCACCCGCCCAGGACTGACCATGATCATCCACCAAACACTGACCACTGTCACCCACCCAGCACTGACCACCATCACCCACCCAGCACTGGCCACTGCCACCCACTCAACACTGACCACTCTCACCCATCCAGCACTGACCACCATCACCCACCCAGCACTGGCCACTGTCACCCATCAAACACTGACTGTGATCACCCACCCAACACTGACCAATGTCACCCCAACATTGACCATGATCACCCACCCAGCACTGACCACTGTCACCCACCCAACACTGACCATGATCACCTACCCAATGTTGACCACTGTCACTCACCAAACACTGACCACTGTCACTCACCAAACACTGACCACTGTCACCCATCAAACACTGACCACTGTCACCCATCAAACACTGACCACTGTCACTCACCAAACACTGACCACTGTCACCCATCAAACACTGACCACTGTCACCCACCCAGCACTGACCACTGTCACCCATCAAACACTGACCACTGTCACCCATCAAACACTGACCACTGTCACCCACCC